TTTGTAAGGAGAAATATACGAAGTCTTACAAAGTAGAAAAAGATAGAGATATAGGTTATGAGTTTGAATGGTAATAGGGAAGATAAGAAATGCATACTGAGAGATTAGATTGGAAAATTTTCAGACAGGATTGATGGAAGTCAAAAAAATTGAATAAGATGTAAAAGTATGATCAATTACTGTTGAAAATGATACGCTAAAAAACTAATAAAAATTATATATAAAAAAATCCCTCCCCAACTTTCCCAGGTTTTATATTGGGTGCCGACACTGCTAGAAGTGGGACAATATTTCTGGGTCCATGGGGAGTTGTGTGACAGGGATCAGCTTTGAGCCTACAAGCGCCTGCCCCATTGGATCTGTTACCCGTTGCTGTCTAGATTACTCAACATCTGAGTAAGCTTGACCAAGCAATATCAGGATATATAAACAGCCTAGGAAGAAAACCCCCCCGCTGCAAAAGTTCTCCTCAGTAATGAACTCTTAACACCCAACTGTGAAACATTTGAGAGATCGTGTAGGGGACTGGGGAGGCGGGAGCGATGGTTATGGGGAATGATTTGCTTCTCCAATAACCTGAGAGCTAATAAATTTCTTCTTGCTGCAAAGGATTGCTGAAAATCCTTTGTGCCTTTAAAAATTATACTCACATGCCCGTCAACGGCACAACTGAAGAACCCGCTAACGTTCCAGGGTTTGAGAATCTCGCATTTACAGGGCTGAGTTTTTATTGCTTCAACAGAAATAATAAAGGGTAATCTTCTCTGGTGCAGCAGAACGGATGATTAGCCCCTCGCCTTCATTGGGTATTGCAAGTAACACCATCCCTTCCCCTGCAAAGATTCATGCTGATTAGCCGGGGGAACTAGTTGTATACTGTTCTGTCATGACCTCTGAAAGATACTTTAATAAGTAACGAGTTAATGAGTTCAATATATTCTCCCAATTTCATTTGGCTCTAGATGAGTCAATGCAAAGCCCTTTATGGCCCTATCTAGTCTGCTTGCCTGCGTTGATCAACCCTAGGCAAACTTTGGCACAAACCGAGCACCAAAAGGTCAGGAAATAATTAGAAGAACCTTATATTAGCTGTTGATATTTTAGCAGCTTTTGCATCGCGTTTGAATAACTGCGAACGAACGGAAGAATTTTAAAAGAGTGAAATAGGAAGACATGCTGATTATGAGGCAGAGTTCCACGTATATCAAGCTGTGTCTGGAAAGAAACTTCTCTCCCAAGCAATCTGTGTTATGTGCTTGCTTTTTTTGCCCAGGAATTGCTTTCTTTCATTCAGGGTCAAATGTTGCACCGGCTGAGCCATGCCTTTCCATGCAGATCTGACCCAGTCATGTGTGAAATGGGGAGCGGCATGAAATGTAAAGGGGGTGTTATGTACTGAGTTGAATAGGATCCAAATTGCAGCAGTCTGATTGGTCCTAGAACAATTGGATTCGGAATGCAGCAGTCTGATTGGTCCGCAGGAGCCACCCAATCCAACTCCAGGTGGAAGTGAATCCGCAACCTAATTGGCCTAAAGGAGAATCCCAGAAATAGCCAATCACGTGGGGCCCGTTGTGTAAATAATGTATATAAAGCAGACAGTTCTGGGGAACTTCCATTCCTCACTACTATGAGCTGAATAAAGAGCATGAAATCCACACTCAACTCTGAGTATATTTCAGGGGGAAAGAGGCCTTCCCCTATTTCTTCAGCCAGTTGGGCTCACTTCCCCTCTGGGTTTGCTGGGGGAAAGAACAGCATGAGGGCAAAGTGGCAAGTTGGGGAAGAATTCAGCACCCACCCCTCATTTTCATGCCCAAATCACAGGCTATTTTAGTCTACTAGTTTACTGCCACCATATGTAGTACAGGCCCATCGATTGCTTCAAACATTGTTGCCATTTAACTGGAAAACCATCTCCACTTAGCAAAGCGAATATGTAAAATAATGTATGCAGGACAAGCATCAGTGTTTATCTTTCCACCATGACTATGATGTTTGAGCAGCTGATTCATGCATTGACGCCCCATTCATGTATGGGGGAAGGATGGTGCTTGGTGCTGTATTGTGGAATTTGCTAGGACTGTACACCAAAGCCCGGATCCTGACCCTCCAAGTGTCCCTATTTTCCAGGGATCTCCCTGAAATATACACGGAGTCCTGTAGTGATTTCATGCTCTTTATTGCAGCTTGTAAAACAGTGATTGAATTGCCCCCCAAACTCAGGCTTTTATATACATTATTTACACAGTGAGTCCCGTCTGATTGGCTGATACTGCTTCCCTCCTGGAGCCTGATTGGTCTTCTCCTGCAGGCCAATCAGTTGTTGCATTCTATGATCCTACCAGCCTAATAGGCTGATTAACTTCTTCCTGGAGCCTGATTGGTCTTTCCCTGCAAGCCAATCAGTTGTTGCATTCTAGGATCCTACTTGCCTATTGTTCTAGGATCCAAGCTTAGTACATAACAGTCCCTGATTTAGAGAAGCCGCCCCAGTTTCTGATTTGATCCCGGAATGTCCCGCTTTTCCTTAGGATATCCCTATTTTAATTGGAGAAATGTTGGAGGATATGGAGTTATCCAACCCCTGAGCCATCTGAAGGCTATCCTTTTATAGGGAATGCCCCCCCCCCAGTGTATAATGTTTTATTATGTTTTATATATGTTGGAAGCTGCCTAAATGGCTGGGGCAACCCAGTAAGATGCGTGGGGTATCAATAGTAAAGTTATTATTATGGAATGGGACATCGCTATTTTCATTGGAGAAATCTTAGAGGGTATGGAATTGGCCCACCTAGGCTTTGGATGAATCAGGCTGAGACAGCCCCAGATCTTTCAAGGAAGGAACAACCCAAAGATGGCAGTATGGAGGGTTTCAAAAGGTAGAGCGTTCAGGTGGTGGTGGGGGGGAGGCGTTGCTGACAGAAGGAGAAGCAAGGCCGCCTCTGCTTCCCCACAGACATCACACTGACTGGTGAAGCAGCACCCAGCAGGACTGAACTCTCTGCTCATTGTCTGACAAGTGGAGGGTTCAATCCTGCACTCTTCAGAGGTGGGCTTCATTAGCACATCTTCCCCACCAAGAATGCTGGAGAATGTGTGGTTCAGTCCTGCTTTCTGGAGGGGTCTGCACCAAATATACACTTTTTGAGCAACCCAAATGTATGGATTTCTGCCTCCCTCGCCCTTTTAGTAATTATGTAAAAGAGGGAATTTCAGTAGGTACAGCATATCATGTAGGAAAAGCGATGTCTCTTAAAATCCCCTCTGCTACTGTAAGGATGGGTTCATGCCAGGCTCGCAGGATCTATTTTGCTTTTTACTAGGATCCCGAGGCCCACCAAGATGGAGCCTGTTGTGAAAGAAATACAGTTAGAATAAAAGAACCTGAAGCCTGAGGATTTGTTTGAAGTACCAGAACTAAACACAACTCACATTCGATCTGCACACTCCTTGTCATACAGTCCACCCCCAGCTTTCTTCGTTTCAGCCTGTCATTAAGGGAGGGGGAGTCATTTTGTTGTCAGTGTTAGACATTTGGGGAGTCAGAAATCCTTGTTGATCTTCAAGTCTCCCAGAAATCTACCAGTAGATTTCCTTTTGCCGCCTTTTGCCCACAGCTGTTCGATAGCAGATCGCCCTCTGTTGAATTCCACTCTGTAATGGACAAGTCAAATCTCTTTAGCGAAATAATTGCCGTCGCCACGTCTGGGTTCTCCTTGATTTTGAAGCCAGAGGCACCTCAGTGCTATGAAATTTCCCGATAGCACGAAAGTACTCAGTTGTATACATGCTTTGCTTATTTATATCTGAGGCAAATGAGATTCCAAAAAGAAGAACGTTGGGTTGTTACACCCTTCTAGCAGGTAGGTTTCCCCAATGCAGCAATTCCAGCAGCAACTGGGAACTGTTTTATACTTTGAATGCCAGTGAAAAATATTATGGGTTAGTATCTCCCTTGGCTTCTTCCCTAACACAAGTGAGTTGTCCCCCGGAATCCAAACATATATTCTCCTCTTTAAATTTGTCATGCTTCTCTGTGATACTGTTGATCTCTTGAGAGGCAGTAGGTTGCCCTGTCTATTACTTAAATTCGTTTTTTCCTGTGGGAAATCATAAAATAAATGATAAAATAAATAAATAAGTGTGCCTGTAATACCTTGCTCATGTCTGGAGTCATTTAAAGCTGGTTTTTTTTTGTTTGTTCTTGTTTTTAAAAACCATTTTGATTGCTCCCAGTGCAAGAAGGTTTTCATATTTAAGACTGCAATCCTGTACACCTGGGGGTGAGTCACATTACATGTAAGGAGGCTTACTTCTGAGTAAGACTGCACTGCAAACTACTGAATAAGCCTTCACCGTAGTCACTCTAACCATATTTGGGATGGGAGGTGCAGAATCTTCATTTCGTATTTCGAAACAAATGTATAAGTCACCACGAGGCAAGGAATGTTTTGTTTATTCCAGGATTAATCACTGTAGCAGAATGTTCACATTCACTTCACAAAAGAAAATAACCGAACCATCCTCACATATGTTAAATCCGAAATCAGTTTCATGTCCAACGCTGCTCTAATTAAATAAAATGGGGGTAGACTTTGAACCCCCTGAAACCATATCCAAAAAGCAGCTATTTTAGTAAAATACGTCAAATCCAGGATTTCCACACCAAAATTTAACATCAGTATCACCTTTGCATTGAAAACTGGGCATAGAACCTAAAGGTGAAAATGCTTAGCTGCTGCTGAGGCACTCATTCGATTCACCAGAGATTTGTCAGAATTAAATTTGAAATGGATTCTCATAACCATTGAAAAATGCTTTTCATGTTGATATCTGGACAGATTGCCTCTTAACGCCCGTAGCAATTTTTTTGGTATATATAACGTGCTCCTTTGGAAGTTGTTCAGATTAACAGTGTATGAAAGATGTGAGGGTATTTTCCTTCTGCAGTGATTGTGACACACAACAACAATTCTGGCGATCAGACGACAGAGGGATGAATGAAATACTTTTTAATATGTCTACAACCGAGTGGTAAGAAACTATAGGAGAAAGATAGTATTTTTTTTTTCTGGAAAATTCTGCATATGTTTATATAATATATATTGCATTGTATAGTTTTACAGACAAATTTACATCAAATACATATGTTTTCTTTTAAAACACTGATTCGAAAAGGATGATAATTTCCCCGCCACCCTGTACAGAAATGGGACTTGATTTTCATTTCTTTTAAGCATAGTTTGAAGCTCTCTAAGAAGTGTACTCATATTCTTCGGCACTCCGGCGTCCAAAATCCATCCAGCCCATGTAGTCTCTGTCTCTTATTCTGTGCGTCGGGTCAAAACTCTGCAGTCCCATCACAGAGACCTTTCCAGAAGCACCTTGGGGAAAAGAAGAAAGTATAGAGTGAAATGGAAGTACATGCTCACTATCGAAATAATAGAAGCACACACACTCTAACAACAAAAGAGTCTTGCAGCCAGAATTTGCCAGAACTCAGTTCTGGCACCTCTTAAGTGGGCATCTAAGAGAACGAGGGAGGTGTTTGTGGTGGGTTCTGACATCTCTTTCCCCAGAAAAATAGTGCCCCTCCTCTCCCTCCTCTCTATACAGTGGAATCTTGGTTTTCTAGCATCTTGGAAGCTGAACGATTCGGAATCCGAATGCTAAAAACCCGGAAGTAATTGCTTCTGTTTTTGAACGCACCTCAGAAGTCAAATGGCTTCCAAGGCGGGTTTTCTCAATTTCCCCCATTGAACTTGCTGGCAGCCCTTTGCGCCTCGGTTGTCGAATGTTTCGGAAGTCGAACGGTCTTCCGGAACGGATGACGTTCGACAACCGAGGTTCCACTGTATATGCAGGGTCTATGGGGTGGTGCGTTAAACACAAAACTGGGCTGAGGTCAAAGGAACACACCGAGTATGCAAAGTCACAACTAGCTCTGTATTAGAATAATAGAATCATGAGTTGGAAGGGACCATAAGTATCATCTTGTCCAATCCCCTGCACTGCAGGAATATTTCGCCCAACGTGGGACTCGAACACACAACCCAGAGTTTAAGAGTCTCATGCTCTACCAACAGAGGGAGCCCTTGGTTGGCTGTCTACACTGCCCAGGAGTTTCTCGCCAGGGTTCCAGACAAGTTTCTGGGGATGCCATGAATGAAGCCTTCTACATCCTAAGTATTCACTCCAACATTGATCTATGGCCTTTACCCATCAAGAAGATTTGAGAGACATTGAGCCCAACGATGTGGGAGCATACTGGTCTATCCCATGCCAGATGATGCTCTGTCGGCAAAGCACCACAACCGAGATGCTAATTACTATCTGTAGCCATGCAGGCAATACACATCTCTGGTCAAGAAGGAAGGAGCAGATTTAGTTTAGTTTAGTTTATTTAGGGCCAGTGTTGTAGAATCATCTCTGTGCTGAATGTAGAACAGTTTTGCAAAATAAGGATAAGTCCCTGTTCTGCCACAAAGCTCACTGTGGGCAAGTCACTGATTTTTTAGCTAACCTACTTTACAAGGTAAGGTAAAGGTAAAGGGGCCCCTGACCATTAGGTCCAGTTGTGACCGACTCTGGGGTTGCGGCGCTCATCTCGCTTTATTGGCCGAGGAAGCCGGCGTACAGCTTCCGGGTCATGTGGCCAGCATGACTAAGCCGCTTCTGGCAAACCAGAGCAGTGCACGAAAATGCCGTTTACCTGCCCGCCAGTAAAGGTAAAGGTACCCCTGCCCATACGGGCCAGTCTTGCCAGACTCTAGGGTTGTGCGCTCATCTCACTCTATAGGCCGGGAGCCAGTGCTGTCCGCAGACACTTCCGGGTCACGTGGCCAGCGTGACAAGCTGCATCTGGCGAGCCAGAGCCGCACACGGAAACACCGTTTACCTTCCCGCTAGTAAGCGGTCCCTATTTATCTACTTGCACCTGAAGGTGCTTTCGAACTGCTAGGTTGGCAGGCGCTGGGACCGAACGACAGGAGCGCACCCTGCCGCAGGGATTCGAACCGCCGACCTTTCGATCGGCAAGTCCTAGGTGCTGAGGCTTTAACCCACAGCGCCACCTGCATCCCTCACCTGCCCGCCAGAGCAGTACCTATTTATCTACTTGCACTTTGATGTGCTTTCGAACTGCTAGGTTGGCAGGAGCAGGGACCGAGCAACGGGAGCTCATCCCCTTGTGGGGATTTGAACTGCCGACCTTCTGATCGGCAAGTCCTAGGCTCAGTGGTTTAACCCAAGTTTGGGAAACCCTGACGTGGATAAACCTTTGCAGAGGCTCTCCAAAGAGGGAAGGATAGGTGTCTAACCTGGACTCTTGTGTCGAGAGAGTTCCATGGTAGAGCATCTGTTTTGTGTTGTGCGCAGAAAGGCCCAGGTGATCAACCACTGACATCTCTAGGTTGGGCTGGGAGAGACTCCCTTCCTGAAACCCCACAAAGCCATAGTCTGTGTAGCCTTGGAAGGAACCCTGAGGCTCATCTAGTCCAACCCTCATCTAGTCATTTGCTGTTGCAACATTCATCCTAACAAAGGCAAACTAGAATTCTAGAATTGTGGGAAGAGACCCTGAGGATCATCTAGTCCAACCCGCTGCAATGCAGGAGCAGACAGCTGTCCCATATGGGGATCGAACTGGCAACCTTGCCGTTATCAACACTGCGCTCCAAGTCTAACTAACTGATCTATCCATCAGTGATTCCTCTGTTCCTGTTTCAGGCAAGGGGAATTAGAGGAACCTTGAGGTCCCTCCTGAATCCTAAGCTATGCAGATGTCTTTTGACTCTGCTCTGTTAGCACAGTGCCTTAAAAAGCAGGGGCAAGGAAAGTAGCAGGAAAACTTAAAAAAACAAACAACCCCAAACACATTGCACATTGGTTTTACTGCTACCCATCCCTGACCATAGCTGTCAACTTTTCCCTTTTCTTGCGAGGCATCCTATTCGGAATAAGGGAATTTCCCTTAAAAAAAGGGAAACGTTGACAGCTATGTCCCTGACCCCCCCAGGGGTTAGTGGTTTGCTCTGCTTTTATTATGCATTTGGTTTTTATCTTGTCTTTTTATGCTGCAAACCACCCTGAGAGCTGCGGCTGAAGGGTGGTATACAAATTTAATAACTAATAATGATGATGATGATGATACTAATAGCAGAGGTTTAGTGCAGATGTGCCAAGGGCACTTTCAGGGTTCAACCCCTGACTACCGTCAGAGAGGAAGTGAAAGCTCTGCCCTGGCACTGCCACTGTTCTTCACGGAGGAAGGACAGGGAAAGACGCAGGCTGCCTAACCCACTTGGACATTGGATGTTGCCTGTTGCATCCCCTAAATTGTGTGCCTGGTCCAAGCCCTCTTTATGCTGGGAGGTTGGTTGCCACACTCTGGAACAGCATAGCTCTGAGGCTCACTTGCTCAGTGGGAGCCAGACATCTGCTCAAGTCCAGGGCTGCGCTGTTGTCAAAGCTCCTCCTGCTCCCCGTACTGTGTGAAGCCCTGGAGGTTTGTCCTGAACACAGGGCTGGCTTGCCCCATTTTGAAGCAAGTGAATTAATACACACACAGCCATTAAATCCGGAGTCTAGAATTACCTAATGGCACCGCAGAGACGGGGGAAAGCCCCGAGGTATTTTCCAGGCAGTTTAAGCCCCATATGCCAGACAGCGGTTTCCAGAGGGAGTTATCTGAAGAAGAAGGAAGGACAGAGCCTTCCAGACAAGGAGAAGGCAAGTTGATCTGCTCCAAGAGGTAGGAGTAGACACCTCATGCCCAGACAGAGGTCTTCTCTGACCTTTCATCACCCCCAGCCACCCTTCTCTGGGCTACCTCTTAGCTGCCATATTATCCCCTTCCCATATTCTCTCCTTCCTGCCACAGACAGTCCTACCATTAGGCAAAGTGGGGCGACTGCCTCAGGTGGCAAAAGTTAGAGGGAAGGGACAGCTGTTCTTTCTAAGCTCTCTGACCATTCCCCTTCGCTGGAGAACAGAGCTGCTTTTGCTGCATGGCCCATTTCCAACTGCTAGTCCAGTCAGCTACTGAATGCAGAATGAGGAGGGGGCACCATCTTGTCCTTCAACTCAGGTGGAAAAATATATTGGGCTGGCCCTGTTCCCTGCTTACATAACAGCCTGCTTGTTCTCTGCCTTAACAGCCGGATATCTCAGTTGGTTAGAGTACGGTGTTGATAACACCAAGGTTGCAGATTTGATCCCATTATGGGACAGCTGCCTATCCCTGCATTGCAGCGGGTTGGACTAGATTATCCTCAGGGTCTCTTCCCACAATACTAGAATTCGAGTTTGCCTTTGTTAGGATGAATGTTGCAACAGCAAATGAAACTTCAAGAGAGTCATTTGGACTCAGATGATGTCTCTGCTTTGTACTCCATTGGCATGAAGGGAAATAACCCTGCCCTATTGCCTCTCTCTAGCATTTGATCTTTAGAGAAAAACTGCTTCTGCATGAGGAGGTTCTATTTTGCTGGTCGTATGCATGGAAGAATTGACCTGTTTAGTCAACAAAAGCCCTTTCGACTGGCTGGACTAACAAGATGCAAGCTCACTGCCTGGGCTTTGTGGGGGGGAAATCATGACAAGAGAGGTCACCCTGCCTTCCATTTGAAGCTATTCACGTGTTGAATTTTACAGGGGCATTTCTTTGACATAGTACACTTGGGTAGAAAAATGATTCAAAAGATACCTCTTCGGGCTTGCTGGAGATATTTGGCCAGCAGAGCTCCCAGGTTAGCCTTTGGGTCAACGTTGCCGTCCAGCTGCTGGATAGATTTCCCAGAGCCTGGAGTACGGACATGCCGGTAGGTTTCCAGCAAGCTCTTCTCGAGATCAGTAGCCACAGGATTGGCATTGTGGGATCCTGAAGTCTGCTGCCCCAAGGAGCTTGTGGACAGTGCAGCCAGGAGCAGGCAGATGCAGACCCCGCTGTACATAGCTAGAGAGGAAAAGGGAGAAGAGGTTGTCAAGGATGCTAAAAGGCTCCTTCACACACACACACACACACACACACACACACCCCACATAGTCTACTCCCAAACCAACAAGTATTCTAGTGGCTCTATTAGACAAGGAAGAGATGCAATTAACTGCCCATGGGGACTAAAGACCATAGAGATCCATGCCCTTGGTTGATTATAGCTTGAGCAAAGATAACCAGTTAATCACTGGGTGGGGGGCCAACTGCTTTGACCAGCTGAAACCATTCCTTGCTTTCCCTTTTGCAGTGCTGGCAGGGGGAAGCACTTTCCCCTCTTTTGAAAGCGAGACATTCTGCTTTGGAAAGGCAACGAAATATTTACTATATTAGCATGGTTCTGGTTGCTCTGAGTCGCTGAATATCATCTCTACATCTTAGGGGAAAAATGCAAAGAGGTGTTGACTTCCTTCCTGGATAATGTGAATGCATGGATCTACACCACAAGATCACACTTTCTGTACCCTGCCTTAATTCATCTGGAGTAAATGTATACTCGCTGTTCCAGTTCCAGGTTTGCACAGTTCCAGGTAAGTAGAAAACTAGAAAAGCCAAATTCACCTATGAGAAAGAGAACTTTTATCCAGCATCCTGGCTGTGAATAGGGAAGAGTAACTGAGGCTGCAATCCCATATGTAAGTCTCACTGAATTCATCGGGACCTGTTTCTTAGTAGACATGCATAAGATTTCAGAATAAAAGGTATTGGTTGCTATTAAAGCAGTCTTAGCTATGTGTCCCTTCAGAATACATCTGTGTGAAATACACAACTAATGCTTTTGCTGTGTGTGTGTGGGGGGGGGGAGAGAGAGAGAGAGAGAGAGAGAGAGAGAGGATGCTTTGAGGGAATGAAGTAGACACGTCTGAAGATATTTTTGTGAGAGGGTAAGAAATGTAAAGTGAACATTTGATTTTGTGCAGAGCCCACAACTTGACAGATCTATTAAATTCACATGCATTATAGGTTTCAGTACGACACCTGTTTCACATACATCTGAGAAATCAGAATATGGTACACCTAAAAATAAGTCCCATTTGTTTATCATCCTGGGTTTAACCCAGCAAGAAAACATAAATGCTTGCATTGGGCTGGAATGTGTCAAGATGTCTCTTACATGCTAAAATCACCAAGCTCCTTAAACTTAAAAAGAAATTACAGCCCCAAAATCATTCAGCAGAGACTCGGCTGCAGTGATGATAAAAAAGGTAGCAACATCCAATCTCCAAGTAACAAATTGTAAGTGAGATACGAAAAAAGAAAATTAAAAAAGTGTTACTTAAATAACCCAGCTGCTAATATTATGGTGTAGAAACTAAAATTCAAATTATACAACCTTTCCAGCTCCCCATCCATAACACATATGCCACTAAAATCCTATACACACTTACCTGGAAGTTTAATTGAATTAAATGTGGCTTATTTCTGAAGAGTAATCATTATAGGATTCACTGCATGTAGAAATGTCATTCAGATTTTTTAAAAGACACCTGAATTCTGTCTGATTAATGTTGGGTTTGGGTTTTCAAAGAGATTTCACAGCCTGCTCCATATAAAAAGTTACTGTAACATTGCCTCTTGGTTTAGCACAGGCAACACCACTCAGCAGGAGCTGTAACCGAAAACAGCAACAGCCTGAAAACTCGGTTTTGTTGCCCAAGATGCTTCCTCAAAATGCAGTGAATTAACCCTGTACATGTTTAGTAAAAGGTTAAGAAAGGCAGAGAGGAACAGTTTTTAAACTCAAAGTGCCTGTGAAGCTGCCTGCAACAGTTTGGAAGACCATCGCTGATTTCATTCTTACAATTTCTAAGAAAAACTCGGTGCAGTCTGAGAAACCCTTAAGTACAAAGAAAATGAAGCAAAGAAGCCAGCCACCAGCTGTTTCCTTCCCCCACACACCCTAAAAGCAGTTTCTTAGTGAAATAATCATCTCCTACCTTCTAAATGAGGTGCAGGTTGCAGCTGTGCACGAGAGAACAGAGGCAGGCTAGAGGTTGTAGCTGAGCCCTTCAATGCTGCCCCTTAAATAGTCTGGTCCAGTGTCATCTGTTTGCACAGCTCTGACGCAAGGATGGGAGCACCACACACTCCAATGTATGGGTGGAGGAAAGGCACTTGTATTAGGGTTGGGGGGTGGGAGAAGTTGCCAAACAAAAGGGTTCTGTCTCTGCAGCAAGCAGGGCTTTGCTTCCCTGACATATACTTCTGCCTAGCAATGTTGCAGGGACTTTGACTATGTATTGAGAGAAGAAATGAGAACGACGTTAATTCAGGGGCACTGTTGGAGTGACTTTAATGCAGAGCTGTGGTGACGGCAACTAGAATTAATGAAGCTATCTTGATTAGACATCCAAGTCTTTTCACAGGTACACAGCCAAAGCAACTGAGCACAATCCTTAATTTTGTATGGCTGTGATCCTACGCACATTCACTTGGGAATAAGTCTAAAAGGGCGCAGAGGAACTTACGTCTGAGGAAATATGCATAGGGTTTGGGTTAAGATTAGGTTTAAATGTGATAGTTTTAGCATTTTTGTTGCTTTAAATCCTATGGTGCCTCCCATCTCTCTCTCCTGAATATGTACACCAGCCAGCAATCTTAAACAGATTCACTTGGGCGCACAATCTAACACCGGAACAGGTAACATGGCACCCTCCCAGGGTACTACAATTCCCATCAGCCCCAGCCAGCATAGCCAGTGGTCAGTGATGATAGGAACTGTAATCTGTAACATCTGGAGGTCACTTTGTTGACAGCCCGTGGACTATCAAAACCAAACAAATGATTTGGGGGTCTGGGGTGCAGTCTTCTTACTCCATGGAATCCTGCAGGTGCTCACATTTGAAACAACTACTCATGGCTTGTCTTGTGATCTTAAGAAGAGCAACAAGCTACTTACAGTTGAACTATAAGAGCAAGGAATAGCCAATGTGATGTCCTTTCAATGTTGTTGACCCCTGACCGTTCTATCTGAGGCTGATAGAAGTTGTAACTCAACAACATTTGTAGAGGACCATACTGGCTACCCTTGCTGCAAGTTGTACCAAATTCATTGGAACTTCCCAAAGTAATGTGATGGCTGCTTTATTATTATTATTATTATTATTATTATTATTATTATTATTATCTAATAATATAGGGTGGGTTGTTCTTTTGGCTTTTTTGAGAAGCTAAAAGAGTTCTGCACAATGTGTGCTTTGTAAAGCTGAACATTGTGCCTTTTTTTGTAAACTGGTCAGAGGTTTTCTTATAATCAAGTGATATATAAAAAGGTAAAGGTAAAGGACCCCAACAGTTAAGTGCAGTCGTGAACGACTCTGGGGTTGCGGTGCTCATCTCTCTTTACTGGCCGAGGGAGCCGACGTTTGTTCACAGTTTTTCCAGGCCATGTGGCCAGCATGACTAAGCCGCCTCTGGCGAAACCAGAGCAGCGCACGGAAATGCCGTTTACCTTCTGGCTGGAGCGGTACCTATTTACTTGCACTGGCATGCTTTCAAACTGTTAGGTTGGCAGGAGCTGGGACCGAGCAACAGGAGCTCACCCCGTCGCGGGGATTCGAACTGCCAACCTTCCGATCGGCAAGCCCTAGGGTCTGTGGTTCAGACCACAGTGCCACCCAAGTGATATATACCTTATGTTAAATATATAAATTAAATGCCTTATGGCCTAGCACCATTTGGGGTTTGATGGGTAACCTGTGTGCCAGTTTGAGCTGATGAATATTAGCACATATTGTCTGCCACTCACCCTCCTACTAGTATATGTGGGACTGATCCATTGTAGCCTATGGTTTGGAATCCAGAGTAAGACAGCCATGATTTAATCCAAGCCACATTGAATTCAGGGGGAGTTAAACTTAGTCTGGGTCCAATGGTAAGCGACTACTCTGAAGACAAATGGTTTCTGATTGTATCTGCTGCATGAGAAGTTTAATAATAGTTATCTAAGAAAGTATTGATGCCAACTGGACTGATTCATTTCTCCTCCTCCTCTGGCAGCCTAAAATGTATACGGATGTGCAGAGGTGGATTTAGGGCACAAGCTACTGGTTCGGTTGCAGTGGGAATGTAAGAGGCAGGTGGTGCTGAATTTTGGCATCAAACAGGATGTGTGCTGCTGAAATCTGAGTCTCCAAGATCTGCCACTGAGACGTAATTGTAATGTTGTGGAAAGGAAGTCCACAGCGATCAATGGTTAACAAAAGAATGGAACTCTTCCAGGTGAGCATCGGTTGTTTCCTGATTCCTTTCAAAAACCCTTTCCACTTTTTTTATTAAAAAAATGAAATAAAATTCCAGACAGTGAAGTATGGGAAGCTGTGAGTAATAGACTCTTCACTGAGCAGGAAGGGATCTCAGAAGTGGGTGGGTGGGGGGCAAAGAAAGGATGACAGCCACCCACCCCCCGCAAGACATAGCGTCATAGAATTATAGTTGAAATGTACCCTGGGGATCATCTATTCCAACCCAATGCAATGCAGGAATCCTGCCCACAGCCATCCCTAGGTGAGCTCGAATTACCAGCCTTATGAGGAATGGTTGAAGGAGCTGGGTATGTTTGGCCTAGAAAAGAGGAGACTGAGAGGAGATCTGATAGCTATCTCAAGAGCTGTCACATGGAAGAGGGAACACGCTTGTTTTCTCCTGCTCTGGAGGGTAGGACTCAATGGATTCAAGCTACAAGAAAGCAGATTCTGACTAAATATCAGGGAAAGCTCCCTGACAGTAAGGTCTGCTTGACAGTGGAACAGACTCCCTCCGGAGGTTGTGGACTCCCTTGGAGGTTTTTAAGCAGCGGTTGGATGGTCAACTATCATGTATGATCTAGTTGAGATTCCTGCATTGCAGGGGGGGGGTGGACTAGATGAACCTTGGGGTCCCAATTCTATGATTCTATAGAAGTCCACCAATAATAATATGCATAATAAGCAGAAAGCAGAAATGAGCAAGGAGGACAACGTCAATAATCTTTGGCTAGGACAAGGTACAGCAGCAGTAGTAATAAATATGTCAAAGAGAAAAACAACTACCAGACTTTTAGAAGACATCTGAAGGCAGCCCTGTTTAGGGAAGCTTTTAATGTTTGATGGACTCTTGTATTTTAATATTCTGTTGGAAGCCGCCCAGAGTGGCTGGGGAAACCCAGCCAGATGGGCGGGGTATTATTATTATTATTATTATTATTATTATTATTATTATTATTATTATTATTAAACTTGGCCGCTTCCTCGCCGCCCTTTGCCCACGGCGGAGCTCTCCAGGGTGCTGAACCAGCCCGAACCAAGTCCTGACTTTCAGCTTTTAGGCTTCCCCGTGCGGATCGTGCAACTTTTCGGGGTCCACGTCGGAGGGGAGAGCGATTATGGGGTGCATAGGGAGTGGCTTCCCTTCGCCCACAGGGTTTCAGACCCGGCTTTTCCGTGGCTAAGAGGGGTGAAACCTGGGACGGGGGACCGGACACCCCCTTCGTCGGAGCTAGGGCTCTTTTCTCCCCGAGGACTGCTTGGAAGCTGGCTAGAGCCCCGAGGTGCCTGGACGGGGCTTTTACCCGTCGCTTTAAAAAAAGGAAAGAGAGAAACGCAAACACAGCCGCGCTGCTGAAACCTCGCCTCCTTCCCGGGCGGGTCCAGGGCGCTAAGAAGCGAGCAAACAGTCCCCGGGCCGGGCGCCCGCCCATTGATCCACCCTGGCGCCGCCGCCGGACCAAGGGATCTTGCAGCGAGGCATCGATCCCAGCGCTGGATTCCCGTCCGTCTGTCGGGGGAGGTCGAAGGGGGAAGCGGTTCTGCAGCCTGGAAACGCAGCGCCGCAAAAAGGGAGACTCCGGAGTGCCCATGAGCTCACATCTCCAGAAAAGAAAACCCTCCCTCTGGTCTTCTCCAAGAAAAAATACCGCTTACCTTCTCCTTCTGCCCCGGATAGGGTGGGGAGTCTCGCTGAACTCGCCCGGTTGTCCCTTTGCGTTTCGAACTTTTCTTTTTTCTTTTACCCAGGAAGTTGCTTGGCGCAGCTCCTTCGCCCGCTGCCCTCGCTCAGTGCCCAGAAGCTCCAGAGCGATTTTGGCTGCCAGTGCGGACGCTGCGCTTTCCTCCCGAGACGGGAGGAGCTGCGGGGTAGAGGCGAGACGCTGCGGAGTGAGGGAGAACTGGGGGGGGGGGGCAGCGGGACCTCTTCTAGTCCTTCCACTAATTAATTAGTTAATTACCTTTATATCTGCCAAGGAGCTCAAGGTGGCTGGCAGGTGTGCCAACTTCAATAAAATATGGGGGGAGGGGAGTAAGCCCCACCCCACATAATCCATCGCAGGATGCGGCGCATGCACACCATTTGAATGGCAATGCCCATTAGCTTGGGGGGCATAATAACCCTCAAATATTTTATTGGGGGGCCCTGAAGGCACCTCAGCCCCTAATATGGGGGGGAGTAAGCCCCACCCCACATATTTTTTAAAAAAATAATTTTTTATTAATTTTCCAAACATGTAATAAAAACAAACAACAAAACAAAACAAAACATACACACAAATAAACATGTATAATTTCATAAACTCATTTTCCTTCACCTTATTTCCCGGACTTCCCCATACCTCCCTTTTTCTGCATCCTTATTTTTCCTTTTTGACAGCAACCCTCCATTCAATTAATTAGCTCATCTTCATTATAATTCCCTTAAATTTATGATATACAGCTGCAATTCTCTGTTTCTTAACACCATAGCATCTCAGCACTCCTCAATATTACAACAATTTTTAAAGTATATTTTAAATTTCTTCCAATCTTCTTCCACTGTCTCACTCCCCTGGTCACGGATTCTGCCGGTCATCTCTGCCATTCCCATGTAGTCAATCACCTTCGCTTGCCATTCTTCCAGAGTGGGTAGCTGCGTCTTCCAATACTTTGCCAAAAGAATTCTTGCTGCTGTGGTAGCATACATAAAGAAAGTTCTGTCCTTCCTTGGCACCAATTGGCCCACCATGCCCAGGAGAAAAGCCTCTGGTTTTTTAGAAAATGTCCATTTAAGGACCTTTTTAATTTCATTATAGATCATTTCCCAGTAGACTTTAATCTTCGGGCAGGTCCACCAAAGGTGATAGAAAGTACCTTCAGTTTCATTACATTTCCAACATTTATTATTGGGCAAATGGTAAATTTTTGCAAGTTTGACTGGGGTCATATACCACCTATAGA